GATTGTATCTGGTCAGTTCAGTTGTATATCTGGTGGGACATCTTTTAAATAGCATAAAGGTGTTTTTCATCATCGCTAAACTCACCTTTCTTCAAATTTTCTCTAGTGCTTGTGAATTTAAGACACAAATATCAGTGATTTTCTTATTTCTATTTTTAATTTTAATTTTCTTTTTAGAGATGAGATCATTCTCTATCAGCCAGGCTAGAGTACAGTGGCACAATCACAGCTCACTGCAGCCTTGACATCCAAGACTCAAGTGATCTGCCTGCCTCAGCCTGCCAAGTAGCTGGGACTACGGATGCACCTCACCACGCTGGGCTAATAGTTCATTCTTATTTTGGAGAGATGGAGATCTTGCTAAGTTGCCCATCTTGAACTCCTGGCCTCAAGCAATCCTCCCACCTCAGCCTCCCAAAGTGGAGGATTATAGATGTGAGCCACCAAGCCCAGCCTGTGATTTTTGCTCACTTCAATAAAAAATCCATGAATATATTTCAGGAGACAATATTCTCATCATCTTGAAAGGTTTGACTAATGTAAAAATTTGCAGACCATTTGCAGTGGCTCATGTCTGTAATTCCAGTACTTTGGGAGGCCGAGGTTGGTGGATCACCTGGTCAGGAGTTTAAGACTAGTCTGGTCAACATGACGAAACCTCGTCTCTATGAAAAATACAAAAAAATTAGCTGAGCATGGTGGCATGTGCCTGTAGTCCCAGCTACTTGGAAAGCTGAGGCAGGAGAATCACTTGAACCTGGGAGGTGGAGGTTGCAGTAAGTGGAGATCGCACCATTGCACTCCAGCCTGGGTGACAGAGTGAGACTCCATCTCAAAAAATAAAATAAAAATTTGCAGTAAAATTTGGAATTTGTTGTAATGTAGATATTCAAATACCTGCAAAAAATTAAAAAAGGCAGTTTGACCATTAATGTTCCTCCTAAATTTTCTTCAAACAACAATAGCAACAAAAAGTCTGGGTAATGTGCTCTGCTTTTCTCCTCTCTACCACTTCTCCCACACTCCCTCTTTCTCTTTTTCTTTCTCTTCTTTCACATTTCCTGTTCTGTCCTTTCCTTCCCCTCATTTTGACAACCATCTCCAATGTTCTACAGCACTTCATGTATTGAAAATCAAGAAAGGAACTTGTTCATTTGCAGAAACCGAATTGTACACTGGCCTTTTTCAACAGAAAGAGTTTTCATTCGTGGAAATAGATGCTAACAGTCATTAGAAGGGCTGGGGCAATAGGCTCTAGGCTGAACCACAGGCATGACCCCAGAAAACATCCCAGAATTAGCCAGCAGGGAAGTTTCTTCCTATCTTGTAACCTGAAAGTGGGCAGTGAGGAAGCTCCCACTGGAGCTGTTTCTTCAAGAATGTACCCCCTTAACTGTGAGCCACTTCCGCTGCAATCAGGCACAACCGTCACCCTCCTCCTGATAGATGCATTCCAGCATAAACTGGATGCCCTTCCTTTGGCATCAGGAAAACTATTGATCAGACGGGATAGCTGCCTCAGAATACCCAACGTGTCCCTGCCCGTTCTTGCTGGCAGCCATAGCAGAAATGGAAGAACCGTTGTCTTCACCTCACTTCCGCCTTCCAAATCTCATACAAATGCACTTAATTGACTAAACCTGAGCACCATAAATGCCATCCAGAATCTGAGCTGCAAAGCAGACTGGGTAATGTAGACTTTTAGCTCTTCCAGGTTTTGCAGATTATGAAAGCACACTAGAAGGAGAGAAGAATGGATGATGTGGGCCAGTTCACCCTATCTGTCGCCCTAAGAACCATTTCAAAGTCATTGCAAATTCAGTGAGTTTTCACAACTTCTAATGAAATGTTTTGTGACTATAGTTTTTAAAACACAAAGTAAAGTTTGTTCATTCTGTAAGCATTTCTTAAGTACCCATTATGTGCAAGCATGCTGCTATGGTTACAAAGGCCTCTCTCCTAGAGGAGGTTGTAGCCTTGCGAAGACAGAGTGTGTAACAATTTAGCTAGTGGAAAATAATTGAAATATGGACAAAATGCAGTGGCAGAGAAGAGAAGGAAGCAATTGCTTAGGTCAAAGGTGAGGAGTCAGTGGCTTGGACTTGAGCAATGGATAACATCTATTTGAACTCAAGAGAAGTGGGCTTTTGAAGCCCAAGGAGAGCACCTGCAGAGGTACAGAGGCATGAAACAGCATGGCTCAGGCAGGAAACTGCAGCTGGACCACCACTTCGTACCTTAGTAATAATCTGTTCTCATAGCATAGCTCAAGCATTAAAAAAAATTGTTATATGGTAGGCGCAGTGGTTCACGGCTGTAATTCCAGCACGTTGGGAGGCTGGCGGGGGCGGGGAGGGGGTGGATCACCTGAGGTCAGGAGTTCGAGACCAGCCTGATCAACACGGTGAAACCTCGTCACTAGTAAAAATACAAAAATTAGCCGGGCATGGTGGCAGGTGCCTGTAATTCCAGCTACTTGGGAGGCTGGGACAGGACAATTGCTTGAACCCAGGAGGCAGAGGTTGCAAAGAGCCAAGATCACGCCATTGTATCCAGCCTGGATGATAGACTAAGACTCTGTCAAAAAGAAAGAAAGAAAAGAAGGAAAGAAAGAAAGAAATTTTATTGGATTCCAATAATTCATATGTTAATTGAGTCACTGATGCATGTACACAAAACTGTTAAGTAATAAAATTAGGAAAAAGTTATACTAAAATTTTTAACAACTATCAAAGTTGTTGAGTATTTACCGATCAGAAAAGGATAGTTATAAAGGATGGTTACAAACAACTGGTCTAGTTGTATTGGTGGGTACCTTAATATAGCAGCCCTTTTTAAATATAGCTTAAAGTTTCCTGGGCCCATGGGGTTTTTGGATTCAAATAAATTTGCATAGTCATCAATGGCACAGACTTCCGGCTCCACCTACACCCAGAGGGCCTCCAGCCTTATCCCCTTAAAAAGGCTGGCAAGGTTTTCCGGGGAATCCCTCAAGGGATGCCTCACATGTCTCTTTTTGAACATAAGCATGTTCTTTAAGTGGCTGGCTCTTTTAAGAGCGGGTATCAAACTCCAGGCGTAGGCGATCAAGGCCAGTAGGGATTAAGGGGAAGAACGTTCTCAACTCTGCAGTCAGAACCATTCTGGTACCGAGTATTGGAAGCCAAGGGCGCAGCAGGTGATGGCATCTTTCATGTGGTTATGAAGTGGGAAGGTTCCCTGATTCCCCTTGCAGGACGTGTGGCAGGGGTGTGGCTCGCCTGTTCGGTCGCCCCGCTGCTCAAACCCCCGAGGGAAGGGGAAGCACGCAGACCGACAGGTGCCCAAGCCCAAGTGGGCACGAGTTAGCATGCCCCTTTAGCCTCGCACTCCCGGGACAGCCGTGCTCACTTACCCCGCCCCCGCCCCATCCTTTTCCTGAGTCCTGGACAAATCAGGTCACACGAACTGTTTGAAAGGTGATGAATGCGGAGGCTTTATTGAACATTCGGGGTGACTTTGAGCGGATGGGGAGCTGGAGTGGGAAGGTGGAGGGGTGCGGGGCTAATCTTCCTCTGGAGTTCCGCCATTCTCGATGGAACTCCTCTTGATGTTCAGACGCCTCTTCCCTCCTACTCTGCAGTGCAGCCCTGCTGCTCTCCACCGCTCTCCCCGCTCTGTTCCTGGGCTCCTCTCGACATTCAGCCACTTGTGTGTGTGCCCGCTAAGGTCTCAGGTTTATATGGGCACAGAATCTGGGGCCAGAGTGGTCTCTCGGAAAATGCAACACTGGGGCAAAAACAGGAGTGCCTGTTTTCACTTAGGTCCGAGGGCACAGACCTGAGTGTGGAGCCCTCGCCAGGGACCCCACCCTTCTCTACCCAGAGCTTCCCTGCCCCCACCTCCCGTAGCAGTTACTGGCATTCTCTAGATGAGTGCCCTCAAACAGGAGAGGGGATCCTTCCTGAGGACCAAGAACAGAAATCACAGACAGTCGGAAGCTGAAGCCAGTGAAGAAGGCAATGTCTCAGACAGCAGACAAAGGAGCATGGGGTGTGCTGGGAGCAGCTGGAAAGTGAATTGAAATTCCACCCTGCATCCTCTACCTTCGCTGAGGAAGTAATACGCCCTGACTAAAGTTTAGGCCAGTGTTTCTCAAAATAAGTTGCTTGGGTATATATGCATCTGAATAATTTAGGGGACTTGCTGAAAATGTGATCAATTTATTTCTTCTAAAGTTTGAATCCCATTGAAAACGATTTTGTCTAAATGCCTGTAGAAATTCACAGCTGATTACCTCCATTACATCTACTGCTTTTTACTGTTAGTTAATTGTTTGATGGATATGTGAGGTCCCTGTGGTTTTGTTCTACAGTTACATTGATTGAATATTTCGAAACTGGGATCAATCCAGATTTTTAAATGATTTTTATCTCTGGTACATTCTTAAATTTAAAAAATTTTACAAAAAAACTGGTCAATGGAAATTAGGGGAATAGGCCATGCCTGTATTCTATTAAAGGATAATTCCTATGTAAAACTGCAAATAGGTGCTATTATAGTCTAAGAAAAATGTCAGGGTTGATATGGTTTGGCTGTGCACCCACCCAAATCTCATCTTGAACTGTGGCTCCCATAATCCCCATGTGTCATGGGAGGAACTCAGTGGGAGGTAGTTGAATCATGGAGGCAGGTTTTCCCATGCTATTCTCATGATAGTGACTAAGTCTCATGAGATCTGATGGTTTTATAAAAGAGAGTTTCCCTGCACAAGCTGTCTTGCCTGCTGCCATGTAAGATATGCCTTTGCCTCTCCTTTGACCTCTGCCATGATTGTGAGGCCCTCCCAGCCATGTGTAACTGTGAGTCCACAAACCTCTTTCCTTTATCAATTACCCAGTCTCAGGTATGTCTTTATTAGCAGCATGAGAACAGACTAATACATAGGGTGAAACTTTTGATTTTATATATATAAATATATAAAAATAGTCTTCCCACTAATAAGACTTCTTTCTTCTCAGATATGAAACTAACCATGAAGAAAAATATTATCAATACACAGCAGTCCTTTGTAAACATGCCCAATGTGATTGTACCAGATATTGAGAAGGAAATACGAAGGATGGAAAATGGAGCATGCAGGTAAATGCAAACATTTTCCCATGCATTTTTAATGTTAGCCACAGTTCTCTAATTTAACTAGGTTTAATTTCAATTTAGCTTTATAATTTGTAGCCTTGAACTTTGTAATATATTTAATTTAGCAAATTTATTTATACTTTGGGACAGCATGACTTGTCTAACAAATGAACATAGATTTTATTTATTTATTTATTTATTTATTTATTTATGTATTTTGAGATGGAGTTTTACTCTGTTACCCAGGCTGGAGTGCAGTGGCACGATCTCGGCTCACTGCAAACTCTGTTTTCCAGGTTCAAGCGATTCTCCTGCCTCAGCCTCCCCGGTAGCTGGGACTATAGGCACATACCAGCACACCTGGCTAAATTTTTTTTGTACTTTTAGTAGAGGCGGGGTTTCGCCTTTTTGGCCAAGCTAGGTTCGAACTCCTGACCTCAAGTAATCTGCCGGCCTCAGCCTCCCAAAGTGCTGGGATTACAGGCATGAACCACCATTCCTGGCCTCAATATAGATATTACTGTGGTCACTTTTTTGGAAGTACCTATTAAGCACCTATGCCAAATATTTCTTTAGTCACTGGCAGGGCTTTTCCTCATGGGACATTTAGAATCTAAGGAGATGACATTGCCATAGATACATATAAAAAATATGCAGAGTATGAAATGCTGGCAATGTGATTTAAAAGTATAACTTAAAGTACTTACCCTATAAAAGAATATAATATATATGAATGTGGTCGAATTTACTTTTAGTGGGAGGAAACATTAGTTAGAAAACAAGTTAGCTCCCACAACTGTATTATGTGATCTAAGTCCCAGATACCACACTTGCGATTTGATAAATGTTAACATTAACCAATGCATCAAGCAATAGGAATGTGGAAACCTAGAAAGTAGTTTCTTAGTTAAATGTGTTTTACTGAATTATGCATATATTCTATAGAATTCTATGTATTCTGTATAGTTCTAACTTCACACTAACTAAAAATTGTTATGTGTGTTAGTTTGAGAAGAAAAGAGGTGAGGTAATGATCCCCGTGGTGAGAAATGTTGCTCCTCCCCAGTGGTTGAAAACATTAACTCACCTCTCTCTCTGCCTCCTGATGAACTGTAGTTCCTTTTCTGATGATGATGACAGTGCCTCTATATGTGAAGAATCAGAGAACGAAAACCTTCATACAAGGGGTTCCTCTAGTTATAAGTCACACAGAAAGGGAGGACCGTCGCAGAGGTGAGCAGTATGATCCATCTCTCGGTACCTGTCTTTAACCATTTATGCCTAAAGTTGCAGTGTTTTGATTTTTTGCAATCAAACCATGGCAATGACCTTGAGCAGTAGGATAGAAATAACACGCATGTTCTTGGCGTTCTAATAATCACACACTAGGTATATGGCTTTGTAAAGTGTTGTTTAGATAAAAGGTCTTTTACTTCTTCCGCAGAGCAAGGTTGGCAAATGCCTCTGCTGTCTAGACACGATATGGGATCTCAGCAGGAGTTACTTCTGTTCCTTACCCATGCCCTCTCTTGGGAAATATTGCCACTGCCAGATGATTATTCACAACGGTGGGGTTCCAAGTTGTACGCGCTCTTGCTTCATTTTTCCTGAGACCAATGTCTGTCCCTTAAGAAACCCAGTCTTCTCTGATTTCTTGTTTCTCTCTGATTTTTCTTTCAGGGCCCTGAAGCAAGTACATGTGAGAGGGTTGGCTGTTATTCTCTAAAATGCTCCATCCCATTTGGTCCTATGTTTAGGAAATAGAGCACTGGAGAGAGGTGCTAGAAGTAAAAAGCAAAAAATCCTTAGTAGGAAATAAAGAAGTTGTAAAAACCTCAGATACCAGACTTGAGATTGCAGAAGGGGTGTGTGTGGTGTTGATGTGGAGCAGGGGTTCCCACCCTATTTGACATAATTACTTTTTCTTTGCTTTTTTCCTCCCCTTTTTTTCCTCTTTCCTATTTTTCTTCCCACTGATTATATCCAGCCTTCCCATTGTTTTTATTTATCTTTTCTCCTCATTTTATTTTCCCTGACAGTCTTAGGTTTCTTATTGGGAGTTACTGGCATTGAGGTTGGTTTACTTAAGCTAATTCTTGGAATGAACGATGACTGATATGCATTTACTAATCACGTGTATTATAGTCCATTTTCATACTGCTGAGACTGGGTAATTTATTAAGAAAAAGAGGCTTAATGGACTCACAGTTCCGCATGGCGGGGGAGGCCTTACAATCATGGTGGAAGGCCAAGGAGGAACAAAGTCATGTCTTACATGGCAGGAGGCAAGAGAGCACGTGCAGAGGAACTGCCCTTTATAAAACCATCAGATCTTGTGAGACTTATTTACTAGCACAAGAATGGCACAGGAAAAGCCCACTCCTATAATTCAATTACTTCCCATTGGGTTACTCCCATGAAATGTGGAGATTATGGGAGCTATAATTCAAGATGAGATTTGGGTGGGGACACAGCCAAACCATATCACCACGTTTGTTCAAGACACTGGTATTTAGCAAGTCATACTTCATGGAGGCTTATGACATATTTTTATGTTTTATGCTTCATGATATGTTTTTGAAATATCATCTAGGCAGTCTTTAGTAATGAGTAGAAACTGAAAAGAATTTGTTCTTTCAGACCATTTGCTTACCATGGACATTATACAGATGGTGACTATTGCGATTTCACTGCATGTTTTTTCTTTCCCCAGGGAGCAGTACCTGCCTGGTGCTATTGCACTTTTCAATGTGAACAACAGCAGCAATAAAGACCAGTAAGTACATTTACAATAGAAAACCAAAGCTTTGGTTTAAAGGAAACCAGTAAAAAGATAGGAATATATCTGAATCTGTTATGGAGCAAATATTTATTAAGCAAAAGATATAATACAATGGCAATGATAGTCTACCATTTTGTTGTTTGGTTGTCTATGTTGGAAAAATTCAGCTACCCATATTAAAAGTAGTATTTATCTATTTGTTCATTTAGTTGAATACATGTGGAAAAATTGTGTCTATAGTGTTGTACAGTTGGCTTTTTTTGTGGATAGAGTGACTGACAAAAACAAATGGAACATATTACTCCTTTCCAGTTTGAGCCAATGTGTCTTAGATGAAGTTCCTCAGGAGACAGTTTCTGAGTTGGAGGCTCATATGCAGAGGTTTGTTAGGAACGGTCTTGGGAACGATATCTGGAAGGGAGTTGGGGGTCCGTATCGGGCAGAGGGAGAAGTCAAACTTCAGTGAATAGGGCTGATGTACAATGTGATTCTATAGGGAGCCCTCGAGCAGGGATGACCTTTTAGAGTTGTCCCATATTTAGGTAATAGATTTGGGCCTTTGTACCCAGGCACAGTTGTTGGAAAAAGGTTGACCTTAGAAGATGGAGCATAACCTTGAGCATGGTGGTTTCCTTCAGCCAAGACCAGCCAGGGGAGAGGAAAAACTGTGAGCTGCCAGCAACCAACACTCTTGGCAAGTGGGGAATGAGTGCCTGGATTTTGTGCACCACCTGCATAGCCACTATACAGCCCACCTGTGTGCTGCTCAGATCCATTTTGTTTATATAGAAAATTCATCCCATCTGGGAATACCTACTCCAGGATCCTGGCTATTCCTTTTTCCTGAGAAAGCTTACAAGAGGAAAGTTAATGGGATTAAACTAAGGTCTCTGATAGATGCAGGTGGTTTTGTGGCCTCGGCTGAAATTCTTCACTCTCTCCTCTTCTACTCCTTCTAGAGTCCTCTCACCCTTGGCCAGCATGTTTGCTGGTCTAGATGACTTAGCTGGTGGAACAATACAGACACTCATCCCTGAAGGACTTGAGTCCTGGGTCACCATGCCTTTCTTGAGTCATGGCTACAGTACTTGCCCATTTACCACCAAAACTGGGCTGGAACATACCAAAAGACACCACAGTGGACCACCTGGGTGCAAATACATCTCCCCTTCCTGAATTGTATAACAGCGGCACTGCCTACTTCTGATGATCAAGTTCAATAACTTTTGCCAGTGTGGTGACTCTCTTCCATGCCTACTGGTTTCTTAGCATGAGGGGCCCAAAGTGGCTGGGGAGTAGCCATAGCTTAATGTTTAATGGAACTCTGGCATTCCCTGGCAGATGCATCAGTCCTCTGGAAACCAGGACCTCTAGACCCACAGATCCTTAAGTTGCAGGAATCGGAAGCAAACCTTTCCTACATTTGTCACCCCTACTTAGACCTCTTAGTTCCCAGACCAATGCATTCTCTATAAGCATAGAGAACCATACAATGATCATTGTTTTAGCATATATACAGTATCTTAGAGGATGACATCTTATCTTTTTAGAGTATAAACTTTATGATAGCATCTCAGCTGTGCCTTCAAAAGGTCACTCCTTAACTATCATGTCAGTAGCTGATAAACAGTGTGCAGCAGTTGATAGGACCATTGGATCCCATACTCAGGGTCCAATGCCACATTTCCTTTGCCTTAAAGTGGGTCCTTGGTCCAAAGTGATCTTAAGTAATGTTTCCTATTAGTGATCATGCTTCATATGCCCCTGAATAATGGAACTGGTCAAAGTCCTGTGGCAAAAAAGCACATAAATAGCCATACATATGTCAATTCATATCAATATGTTTAATGCCTCTTCTATGGTGTCAGGAGTCCAACTTAGTTAACTTAGCATCAAGTGACTGATTACTTTCTTCAACAGAAAGCACTGTATTGGAGTCATAGCATTGGTCTCTGTAACTGGCAATTTCACTAAGAGCAAAAAACAAACAAAAACAAAGATTTTCAAACTTTGTGCTCATACTCATAATGTGTTCATTCAGTCTGCCTCTTCTTCAGAAATATTTTCCCTGATCTTTCCATCTTTTTCCATCCAGGTTCCTGACCAATCAGTCAAGGCGTTTGTGACTGCCCATGAGTCCTTTTATATTCTTAATTTGGGCTATTTCTTTTTCGTTTTTTTTTCTTTTGGAGACCGGGTCTGACTTTGTTGCCCATGCCGGAGTGCAGTGGTGCCAGGCTGGTCTCCAACTCCTGGCCTCAAGTGATCCTCCCACCTCAGTGTCCTAAAGTGCTAGGATTACAGGTGTGAGCTACTGCACCCAACCTGGGCTATTTCTTTTTCCATACAAACTAGATGACTGTATACTACTTGAAGCTGGGGAAATTAACCTCACATTGTCTTCTAAGACCACCCCTAAGTGAGACTGTGATGCAGACACAGCCCATTCTGGCTTGCATCCACATGGTAAACTGACCCATGTATGCAACATGCTGTATCAGCTGCTACTAAAGAACCCCACATATGGCCACAGGTGGGAGCGGAGAAATAGGTGCTGAGTGGAAAGTGACGTAGTGGAAAATGAATGGGAATTTTCAACAGTGGAAAATGACATAAAGAAGGGCACTGAAGTCTGGGCATGGTGTCTTACACCTGTAATCCCAGCACTTTAGGAGGTTGAGGCAGGCAGATCACCTAATGTCAGGAGTCGAGACCAGCCTGGCCAACCAACGTGGTGAAACCCCATCTCTACTAAAAATACAAATATTAACTAGGTGTGGTGGCACGTGCCTGTAGTTCTAGCCACTTGGGAGGCTGAGACAAGAGAATTGCTTGAACCCAGGAGGCAGAGGTTGAAGTGAGCTGAGATCATGTCACTGCACTCCAGCCTGGGTGACAGAGCGAGACTCCTCAAAAAAAAAAAAAAAAAGGTACTAAGCCACCTGTCTGGGCAGCTTACTTTTCCCTCTGGTTCATGCTCAATCTCAGAGAGCTTACTTCATCATATGATGGATTGCTACCTTATGACTTGTTGTTTCTGACAGAATCCATCTCATGATGGGCATTCATTTTATGTCCATGGTTAGGTAATCCTATTTCAGGGTTTGATTAACAGAATGCCATTGATATAGAGGCCTAATGTGATACTCTGAGAAATGTCCACATGATCCAGGTTGCTCAAGGCTGTCGTGACAGTAGGAAGGAGAGTTAACAGAGCCTTGGAAAAGAGTGGAGATGTGTATAGTTTTTTATCCCATGCGAGTGAGAGCTATTTCTATCCTCTTTCCTGAGAGTCATGAAAAATGACATTCACATAACTGACCCAGAGCCTCATGTATGCAGTGTATCTCAGGTGAATATATTATTTCCTGTATATGACACAGCAGCTGCAATTGGGGCTACTACTTCGTTGATTTTTGCAATAGTCTACTACTGTCCGTTAGGATCCATTTGGTTTTTGCAGGGATCTGATGATGAATTATGTGGGAAAATGAAGAGGGATCACCACCCTGCATGCATTAGGTCTTTAAGAATGACTTTTTTTTTTTTTTAATCTCCCCAGGATGCAATGTTGCTATTGGCCAGAGGGTGGGAAGCAGCTTCAGGGCTTCTACTTGGTAGAAGCTTCCTACTTCAGGGCTTCTTCTTTCCTCACAAGCCAAGGAACTAGTGGGGGTAGGGGTAGGAGTTCTGCCCATGAGCAATTATATACATTTCCCTTTTGTATTCAGGAATTATGTACATTTCACTTTTACATTTAGGAAGTGGAAAAATGATCACAGAGTAGCTCTCTGTGTTATTTTCCACATAGGACACGGCAGCTGCAATTGGGGCTACTACTTGGTTGATTTTGCAATAGTCTACTGCCGTCCACTAGGATCTATCTGGTTTTTGCAGGAGTCAGATGATAAATTACATGGGAAAATTAAGAGGAACAACAACTCCTGCATGCATAATTTTATACAATTATGTACATTTCCCTTTTATATCAAGGAACTTATATACATTCTACTTTTATATTCAATAATTATATACATTTCACTATTACATTTAGGAACTGGAGAAATGATGGTGTAGTAGTGGGTCTGTGGACCCAGTGGAAACAACATAAGTCATATCTCCTCCAGGAATCTCTTATTACTGGAACATCATATGCTCCTCAAGTTTAACCGGTCCCTAGGTCTGATGATACTTCAGTCCCTAGGTCTCAACATCCACTTGGATCCTGTGCCAAACAGTCTTCAATGTATCTAGGTATTCTTTTTTTTCCCCCAGAGTACAGTGATCTAAGTAATGACCATAGGTTCTTTAGGAGAAAGACTAGGGAAATCATTACTGAATATATTTGTCATAGTGTTGCAGAGTCTTTTTTCATGGCGTCCTGGCTTCTCCTCTAGTCAGTGATTTTAGGTCTAAGTGCTGGCTTAGGTCTGGAAACTGTTGAAAGGATTCTGATTTCTTTTTAACTTAAATTTTAATTAATCAATTTATTTTTTGAGATGGGGTCTCGCTATGTTGCCTAGGCTGGTCTTGAATTCCTGGGCTCAAGTGATCCTCCCACCTCGAACTCCCAAAGTTTTGTGGTAACAGGTATGAACCACAGTGCCCTGCCAGGATTCTGATTTTTTTGATGTAGTAGGTTGCCCTCAACCTCCTAATTATTCATTCCTGGTTTGTTTTGGTTGTATACATTAAACAGCACCCTAACTAGCTAACAGGCCTTCCCATCTGTCTAGGAATACTGTATTCTATTAACCTCTTCCATAGCGGTCTATGGGTTAAGCCCTTTGGTCGCCATACCTACCTTAATGCTCATTATAATTACTGGACCAACCTTACTTCTGATGGGTAAGCACCGCCATTAGTCTCAGTTATTTCCAGATCCTGTTATCCCTATTGCTCTCAGAGAACCCAGTTCTGTAATGGCATCTCCCACCATCAGGCCTGGCCTACAGAGGATAGCACCACTGTGCTTCTCAAAGCTGCTAGTGCCCCTCTCACCAGCACATTCCACGTTACTTTTGCATCCTTTGAGCTCTCTTTGAGAATAACCAGCTGGTAGGCTATATTCCAAACACAGTGTATCCACTTCAAGATGCCACCTTTCTGGGTCTTTTGATACCTTCCTCCACCATCTGCCATGGTGTTGTTTAATGCTTATTTCATTTTGTGTGGGCCATTATCTTTTCCAGGCTTCCAAGAGCCATTTGTGTAGTGTGTCCACATCATCCTTCAGGATCCATTCCAGGTTGTCAAATGTTGATTCACAGACATGTACTCCCACAACAGTAAATTCTCCCTTATCCAGTTTTATGGTCTGTCCCTGTTTGTACATGACCATTTTAGATGTTAAGCCTCGCCTCACTTGTCAATCTTATCTTCCATTTCTTCTCAACTGTGGCTTTCCAGTTCTCCTGGCCATTCTTACCCAGATTAAGTCCACTGCACTTTAGAAATTTTCCTGCTCTAATATCCTCTCCCTTCTCTACTTCTCGAACTCTTACTCATACTTCGAGGCCTAGCTTTAGACCTACCTCCCTTTAAAACCCTTTTCTGACTATCCTAGTGGTAAGAAGATACCTATTCATTCATATCTGGATAATGAAATTTCCTAAGACATTTGAGCTGATAGTGGCAGCCTGATATAAACCCTAAATCTGTCTGACTTCAGAATTCATTCCCCTGCTGATAGAGAAAGCTAAGTGTGGAAAGAGGCACTAGTTACACAGTCTCCACTCAAGAAGAAATTGTGTGTAGAGAAAGGTGGTCTTAAATCCAGAGAATTATTCTAATAATTGAGACTCCACCATATTACGAGAGAGCCTGATTACTGGTGAAAAATGGCTTCAGTCAGGGTTATCTCCTCTAAAGAAAATTGATGGTATTTTCTTAAAATTCTCAGTGACTATTTTTAATACATGAACACTTTCGAGGAACGCTCTTTGGGGGGCTATTTCTTAAATTTTTCTCATTGGTTTTACGCCTTTATTCATATCCATTTTCTTCTATTTCCCACATCTATATTAACTTTAGAAGTTTTTGTTTATTATCTGGATAATTGCCCTCCTTTTTTTTTTTTTTTTTTTTTTTT